CCAAGGGTGTCAGGGGTCCCAGAAAAATGTGCTGTGGGTGGAGCCCTAGAAAGAAGGTCCCAAGGACTGGCCTACAGACCCCCGCTGGAGCTGCCTTGAGTTCAAGCAACTCTCCATCCGTCTCCAGGTGAGCCGTCTCCACGGCTGCCAGGCGCCCGAGGCTGCTGGGCCACATTCCCAGGCACGTGCACCCACACTCAAAGCCCCTGTGGCTGGAGGACACGCCAGTGAAACTCTGTTCTTTGCCTTGGGAAGCGCGCGGCTCGCACAATCCTACGCTGCGCCTTTGCTCCGACGGGAGGGACCACGGGTCAGACCATCCCCCCAGTTTGCCCGCAGCTCATTCTGTCCTTCGTGGGAGGGTACCAACCTGCATTCGAGACCCCCACCTGCAGCACAGGGGCTGACATTCTGGGCTTTGTTTTGGTTTTAATGTGGGGTGAGGAGGAAGAATTACATCTAAACTACAAGGGCACTATGGAAGCCAGGGGAATGTTCCAGGGATTGCCTTAGTTAAAAACAGGAAGCATTTTCAAGGATTTTTCAAGAAGCCTTTTCCGGATAAAAGCGGGGTTTTAAAAACACCACCCTGAGGAAGAGTTCCCCTCAGGGACTAGTGGACCCCAGTTTGGGAAATGACTCCCCTGCCTTTTCTCCTCCAGAACGTGGGTTTTGGACTCACAGTGTGGACTTACAGATTCAGACCCGAGCAGCCCTGGTAGTGTCTGCTGCTGGGTGTCCGGAACCTGCCGGAGCCGTCTGCACAGAGCCCATCAGTCCCCATTACAGGTTAGTGGGTGACCATTGTCCTGGCTTCCCCTGGACTAAGGGGTTCCCCAGGGTGCCCAAACTGGCAAAGTCCCAGGCAAACCAGGATGCATGGCCACCCTAATGTGGCACTGAGACAGAAATGACTCCTCCATCTGCTCCTGTCCACCCCACCCCCTGGACCCCCCAATAGGACTCCATTAAGTACTCTGCTGCCCCTCTCTACAAACCGGTCTTAGTTCTTTGACTGTCTCAGCTCCAACCAACTTCCTGGGACTTCCTCTGCCAAATTACTGCTGGTGGGACCTCTGACCAAACAAGAACAGAACGCTCAAGTCCTAATTTGATCAAACATTTAATTGCAATTTTATTACTAATTCAGCAAAGAAGGGCTACAGGGAAGGGGTGGCAAGCCTTTGGCGATATGGTGGGATGTGAATGCCCTTTTTTCTCATTCCCAAGGCCCCAGCTGTCTGTATAGTCTGGTAACATATTTCTTGAGAGTCTGGTCCCTGGCCAAAGGCCTTGATTTCCTTCCAAGTTGCTGCTGTAATTTATAGATTAACAACTCTTTCCTCTTGCGGGACATTGTTTGATGAGCTGTGTACAGTGCTCTGTGTTGTTTATCAGGCAAGACTAACAAAGCCTGGCATGTTTACCTTGCTTGAGGAACCGTGGCTGTGCAGAGACAAAGGCCCGCCTGACTCATCGCTGCTCCCACGCGGACTGCTCTCCTCCTGACCCTGCCCCCAAACCCCCGCCTACTTATCTCGGGGAATAAACGCTGGGGATGCTGTGTCCTTCCCAGCTGACTTTCCACTTTCATCTTTGTCGTTTAAAAAATCTGCATGGACGAGTGAAAGCCAAGATTTCATCTGTGTCTGTTTTTGATGACACCGGCTTGACTCTCCGAGTCTCAGGCAGCGGAGCCACGGGAAGGCCACCGACAGTGCCTTCCACGCCCCCGGGGCCTGCTCAGGCCTCTGGGCGTGCGCTGCCCTGAGCAGCCTGTTCTCAGGCAGATTCGGGTCCAGTCGGTCTGGGATGGGGCCTGACGAGCTGCATTTATTTTCCAGGCGGAAATATATTTATTTAATTCTGTATTCATTATAGATATGCGTGGAAAGCAGCACTAGGCACGAATGAAGTAATGAAAAGTCACGCGGTAACGAGACTTAAGGTTAGTCTGTTTTGTAGGTGGGCCTCTTCATGATTTCTGCCTCTATAGCTTCACAGGCTTTGGTGCAGCGATGCATTGCGGGTCCTGTGCAGTGTGCAATCCTAAAGTCTTTTTCACCACGTGGATTTTTACAGTCACCACTAAGCTGTATACGTGCATTCCACAGGTTAAAGACAGCACGAGGGATGCGCTTCGCTTTTGGCCGAAAGGACAGATCGGGTGGAATGAACACTCCAGGTAGGCAATGGCACGCTGCATTTCTGACCGCTCCTCGGCGACGTCGATGCTGCTGGCCCAGGGGCCACATGTTGAGCACGGATGGAGTGGAGATGCCCAGCACTGAGGGCCAGGATGAGGCTCACAATCAAAGTCTTCGTAAGACACCCTATCAGCGTTCTCTAGACCACGGACCCTACAACTCGAGAGCTTCTGTTTCTTCACCAGCTAATAGAGTTAATTAAATGTGGTTATGGTCATTAACAAAGAATTTAATCTCCACAACAGCCCTATTTAGGTATTGCTTAATACTTTTTTAAGTTTCTCAACAACATTGTGTAGTTTTCAGCGAGGAGGTCTTACACAGCTTCTATGAGATTTTTTCCTGGTTTTTTATTTTAAAAATCATTAGATATGAGCCAGTTTATATATATAAAGGGCCCTGGCTATTCACTACCCTTGAAAGTCTTGTGTTCATGACTGTCACTTACATTTGCTTGAAAGATTATTTTTAAATTCAGCCGAGCAATGGCTTCTTGGTTTGGGGCTTACCACCATCCCCGAAACACGAATGCCTTGGGGACACTGGGAATCATTGGAAGAAAAGATTAAATTTCACAGTAATTCTCCACTATTGACAATTAGCTGCCTGAGGAATCAGAGTGCCCTGAGGGGGGAAAAGACAGAGCTATGGAAGAGATCACATTTGTGGGAGATGAAGCTGGGGCTGGGAGGTTATGAACTTGCCAATGGGCAGACACAATGGACAGACACAATGACCACATCACCCTGGCCCTCCCTCTCAGCTTCTCAGATGCTTCTTAGCTATAAACATCCCTAGGTTTGCCTGCACTCCAAACCTGGGAGCACTTTAGGATGTGAGGTGCAAACAGTTAATCAATGGTGAGGACTGGACATTCTTGTCTAAATGTAGGACTTTAGTACCACTTTGCTCACCGTCAATTTCTGCCGTGGAGCGGAGCTGAGAGTAATGGCTGCTGGGTGACCGAGCAAAGAAAGACCAGCGGGGAGACCAGGCTAAGTGGCCAGCAGATGTGATGCCCATTCTCATTTACATTTCCTATTTTGCCCACTCAGCAATAAAATTAAACAAGAAAACAAACGCTGAGTTCTTCCCGCCTCTGGTGAGTGCAGCACGGGAGGCACTTTTCCTGTTTGCAAAAAAGATTGATGCTTTGCATCGCTTCTCTTTCCATGTGAGAATTTGAACATAAATATGAAAACCAGGTCATTACCGTATCTTAACAATCCAGCTGTGTGGGCAGTTCTCAAATAACCAATAGGGTGTGTCTCAAAAATCTGTTTTTATGTCACTTGTCCGGCATATTCTTTCCTGCATGAGCACATTCACAGGAGATAAACTTAGTCATGAAGAAAGGGATGGGTACGGTAACACTGAATAAAAGGGGTCTTTTTTGGACATTCCATGTTATTTTATATTAGTTTTAGGTGCACAGCATATATTAGACATTTATAGAACTTACAAAGTGATCCCATCCGCCCAAGTCCCAATATGTCTAGTACCTACCTGGCTATCCATACAGTACAAGAGGGTTTAAACTTAAAAAAACGAAGCAGAGTTGCATGTTTTCTATAAGCAGTAACTGCAGAAGAGGCAACTAGTTTTAAAATCTTAATTTTTGTTGGATCTTTGTAAGAGACTGCCTTGCAAACCCTTGACTCTCCTATTCCATGGGAGAAGGCAGGAAAATGCCCCTTAAATGAGGCAGTCCCAAAGGAAGCCTCTGAGCTGGGATTTCAATAGAATGAGAGCCACAGACCAGGATAACCAGCCCTCTAACAGTTTTTTGAATTGTAAATAAGAAGTGGCCCATGGAAGAAAGAGATCTGAGGAAGCAAATGCTCCGTCTCCTCAGATTACACCAGAATCCCCCTCCCCTCCCAGGGACCGGGAAGAGGCACAGCTCAGAGAGTGTCCAGTGTCCGGCCCTGGCTTAGGTCTCAGGGCCAGTGCCGTCCTTTCACGCCTCTTACCTTCAGGACTTGAGCAGCAGTGAAAATGTGAGCCCTGTTCTTCCAGGCCCCGGACAAGGCGACGGCCATGTGGGGTGAAGTGGGGTCTTCACAGGTGCAGGGCCCTTGGTTTGCTGGGAGCACTGGTGCTTGAACCCAAGTGCTTCGTTTTCATCAGCTCATGGGCAGCGTCGATTTTAGGTGCAACAGCTCTTCCCTCTGCTCTGAGTCTGCATCCATTGAGAAACGGGGAACCTCAGATATTCTAACTAAGACAAGGCGTAGCCTATCTGAAGAGTTGACATTCTGGCTTATACATTGAGTTTGGGTTCTGAGCACCTTCTGCAGGAGCCTCACCAGCTCCCAGTTCTGGCATGTTCAGCAGACTCCCAGTCCAGAATACCCCCTGCTGCCCCTCCCTGACCCACGAGTGGCCAGACTAATCCAGAATAACCTCCCTGACGCACAAGTGGCCAGTCCAACCCAGAATACCCTCCCTGACCCACGAGCGGCCAGTCCAATCCAGAATACCCTCCCTGATCCACGAATGGCCAGACCAACCCAGAATACCCTCCCTGACCCACAAGCGGCCAGTCCAATCCAGAATACCCTCCCTGACCCACGAGTGGCGAGTCCAACCCAGAATACCCTCCCTGACCCACAAGCGGCCAGTCCAACCCAGAATACCACCCTGCAGCCCCTCCCTGACCCATGATGGCAGTACAATCCAGAATACCCCGCTGGGCCCTCCTTCACTCAATCTTCAGTCTCTCCCTCAGAGGCCAACCTCTCTTTTTGATTCTATAGTGACCCATTTAAATAAAAGGCCCAACACAAAAAACTCAGGCAAATATGTTTAATTTTTTAAAATAACTGATGGCAAAATAAAATATTTACATCACATCATACTGTGTAAACATGTAAGGTCTCTGTACAAAGAAATATACATGCAAAATAATGTAAAAATTTAACTGAAATAATAGAAGAAACAATACACAAACAAAAGTTGTGAGGTTACGAATACACATCCAGTTCTGAATCCAATTTATTTTAAAAAGTTTCTGTACAATTTTACAAGAAACAAAACCCAAAAGAATAAATAAAATATATTGGAAGCTGCAAAGCTTAGCTACGCCACTTTATGGCTCAAGACCCAGGTGTCTGGCTGGCTCGGGAAGCAGGCTGGCCTCTGTTTTAGTGTATTTCACACAACAAAGATAAAAAGACATCCAGAAAAATTCAAGCGTGCCCAGAACCCCAGCATCTTTTGTTGAAGGCCTCCCCACACCAGCGCTAACTCCGCCCAATGACAGGCAGGGGGCGCCAGCTCAAGGCTGTGAGGGCTTAATTGGCTTGTATTTCTTACCAAAAGCTCCCCGTCCAGCCAATTTGTGTACAGAAAGTTGAATGTCAAAAAGTCTAAAAAGTAGTAAATGTCCAGACTGATTTTGGGGAAAAAAATAATACTTTGGCATTCTGAATAATAGCATAATACATTTTAAAACATTACCCTATTATCCAGTTTTATATTCAGAGTATGAAATCACTTTTTACAGTCCTCAAAACTGACAAGTTTCACGAAGAGTCAAGTCTCCTGAACGGATGGCACAGGGCTGCGACCCCCCCTCCCCCCCGCCCCACCCGACACACGCACAAAACCATAAAGCTCACCGTACGAAGTATGTGCTTTTTCTATATATTTATTACAGGTACAACAGAGGTCTTCATAAATAGTTGCATAAAATGTTAAAGCCACAACATTGCACATGATATGAAATAAAACCAAAAAACCCCCAATGAGTGCATTTACAGTATTTTCATCTGACTGTATACTGCTCAACAATCTGATTGACGGCTTGGGGGCGGGGCAATGGGGTAGGGCCCAACCTGATGTCCTCAGTGGATGGGCAGAACCTTCTGGCCCCCAGAGGAAGCCCAGGCAGGAGTGGGAGAAAGGCCGGGGGGACAGACTGAAGGCAGGACCAGTCTTATATACAAGTAAGGCCTACATTTCATCAGAGCAAAACAATTCATTCTATTTTTATGCAAAAGATTGAGGTTGAATGCACATTTCAGAAGCCCAGTCTGGCGTCCCTGAGAGACGCACACAGACCAGGTGGCTGGGAAGCTCGGAGCCGGGTGGGCGCCAAGCCCCGCAGCAGGTGCAGGGACGGCCGCCGCTGGGGTGCGTCTTCCCCGGAGGCGGAGTGTCTCTGTTTTGTTCGTTAACACCAGTGGTTGAACATAGGCATTTCGTTTCCTTGAATGAGTCTTGTAAAATGTTAAATTTGCAAAATTCTATGTGTGTTCGTTTAAAAAAGTTTCTTTTTTTATTTTTTGCAGAAACCTGAATAAAAGACTGTGACACAGCAATGCTGTCTCGGCTCTCAGAGTGAGAGAAGGTCCTCCACCCAGCAGGCTGGCAGCCGCCCGCCCGAGCCAGCTCGCTCGGAGTGCGGGCTCCACACGGTGCACTACGGCAGCGGAGCAGTCATGTTGGCTCGTGTTTCTCTCCGAAATTCAAATTAACAGCTGATTGGCAGGTGAAAGAGAATGAGAAAGAACTTCAAGACAGGTCAAACCCGAGGCAGAAGCCTGCTCTGCAGGAAGTTTTTAACGCTACGGATAGGTCGAACGTCGTTCTGGTGTTTGCGCCGCTCAATGAAGGAGGTCAGTCTGGACGTGTCGAGGACGCCCGTGCCTTTGCCGTGGCCGTGGCCATGGCCCGCCTGCAGCCACTGCTCCTGCAGGGCCAGCGCAGCCGAGGGACGCCTGGCGGGGTCCTCCTGCAGGAGGAAGCACACGAAGTCCTTGGCCTTCTGGCTCACTCCTTTAAAGTAGTCATCTGGGAAACTAAAGTCTAGTCGGCAAATGTTCAGGCAGGTCTCTTCCACGCTGTCGTCCAGGAAGGGGGACACGCCGCTGAGAAGGACGTAGGTGAGCACTCCGACGCTCCACGTGTCCGAGGTCAGGGAGACCGGGTTCCCCAGGATGATTTCGGGGGCTGCGAACTCGGGGTTCCCCAGTAACGGGTGGATGTAGTAGGTGGTATTGAGCTGGACGGCATCTCCAAAGTCGGCCAGTTTAATCGTCGGCGTGGCTGCACTCTGACCCACCAGGATGTTTTCGGGCTAGAAGACAGGATAAGGCAACCGTCATTTCCCCCAACACCCATCGTTAGCCGGGGCATGATGCTCACCAGGACCTGTGACGTCGACCAGAACAAGCTGTTCACGTGCAAAACGAGGTGAAGCTCTCCGCAGGCGCTGAGGGAGGAAAGGGCAGCAGTACGGAGACCCGCCCGGTGCAGCTTGGCCCAGCCTCCCCGGAGGTCGGTGTGAGGCAGCGCGTTCAATATGCCGGCGTAGGAAGCTGGGTGGTCCTTTCCCCTCCCAGCATGAGAGCAATCCTCTCCCTTCCTTACTCCTCACTTAACCAGCCCACACCAGCCCAGCAAAACGGCCAGACTTTCCAAAATCCCACGAAACGTGTAAGAACTCAGATCACCGAAAACAAACTCTTAAACAGAGTGGAAATCAGTGTCCCCAGTCCCCCTGGGGCACCTGGCCTGGCTTCAGAGGACCAGCGGAGAGGCTCCCAGACGCATGGCCGAGCCGCGGTCAGACACGCTGCCGTCCTGAGCACCACTCACCTTGAGGTCCAGGTGTGCGATCCTGCAGTTGTGAAGGTATCGGACGGCCTCCAGCACCTCCCCCAGGTACGCCCTGATCTTCACTTCGGTGAGGTTTCCCCATCGCACCACGCAGTCCAGGAGTCGCCCCTGGTCAGCCCTGCGGAGGCAGGAAGGGGTGTGGCCGTCAGCATGGGGCTGCTGTACTTTGAAGACCTTTCTGGTCTAATACGAAACAAACACAGCATCTGTCCCCTCTGTCAATGTGCTGTCGGAGTTTCAGATTCTACCTCCACCCGAAAGCACGGCTGGATCAGGAGGTGATTTCGTGTTAATGTCACTGTGGAGATGCATGTGGGGGACAGGGCAGCTACACCCTTAGAGGGAACTGGGAGGCTCCTGCCCACTGGTCTCCACTCAGACCCTGCCTCCTGGATGTGAGGAAACAACGTGGGCCTCTGCTGAATGAGGGAATGAGGTGCGTCCTCCCCAAGCCTTGGTTTTGTCATCTGTAAAATGGGTGATGGGAAGGCTCTACAGATGATGTAAGCAGGTACTAAGGCAATATAGTAAGTGCTGCAGGATGGTCTCAAAAGTCTTCCTACTGCGAATTTACTTTTAAAAATTACAAAACACATATACAAAAACAAAAAACATTTCTACAGTGCTGCTCATGTGCAGAGGACTAAATACCTTCTACCAATTCATTTAATCCTCTGAGAGAGTGTTTTATTGTCCCCATTTTATGGATGAGGAAACTGAGGCACAGGAAGGTATGTAACTTCCCAAGGCCACACAGCTCGTAAGTGAAGGCGGGAATTGCGATGTGGTGGTCTGGCCCTGGCCTTTCTGAACATCGGTCTATGGTGCCCACTCTGTTTGCAAAACAGAAACTTACAGGAAGATCAACACTTGTCTGGTAATGGAGAGTAATCACGGAGAATTTGCTAGTAATTTGTTATGAGAATAAGTCCTATTAACCCTATGGTGAGGCCCAAACATTTCGTTTCCCAGTGAAAAGAAATGACGGCTGAATGCACTGAAACTCCTAGACCCAAAGTGGAGGGCTGGCCGATTTCTGATGAGGACCGACGGGCGCGTCTTGTGGAAAAGCCCAGGAAGACAGGCAGTTCTGAGTCTTCAGCGTCTAGAGCTAGAAAGGACCCAGCCAGGCGACCAAAGGGGCCAGGACTATGCTTAGACATTGTTTAGCCTTAACGACCGTCTGAAGTAGCTGAGATTTAAAGGATGCCCAGGCCCCACATGATGGACATGCCCTTTGCACATGATGACAGCCTCGGTGAGGGGGTCGGGGGGGCTGCCCTCCTCCCTCCGCCATCTGACAGGTTTGCTGCCCCTGAGCGTGGCTGAGCGGGCCGGCCGGCGCCGTTTCAGCGGTGCAGCCCTGGGCAGGGAGACCCTCCGGAAACGCCCCCTCCCCAGGCCGGTGCGGCTCAGTCCTGAGGCAGCCTTGCCTCTGAAGGCTGTGGGGTGGAGGCACGAACCGATTCTTCAAAAAATAGGAATATGAGAAACAGAAACGAACGCCCCCTACAAAGGAGGAATCGGAACTTAAACAAGGCTGAATGCCGCGATGTTTCACAGAGCCCAGGATGCTCTGGGGCAGGGCTTCCCAATGCCAGCATTGCTGACAGTTGGGGTGTCCTGTCACCCCCACCCTGAGTATGACACCAAGAAGGTCCCCAGACACCACCCAACATCCCCTGAGGGACAAAACTGCCCCGTGGAGAGCCCTGCGCTCGGGTCACACGCCTCCTTTTGAAACGACTGAACCATTTACTGAGATGCCCGCAGGGGACCAGGGGGGCTGCTCTGGTGGGAGGCTCCCTCCAGGGGTGACCTTGCGGTGAAGAGCCCTTCTCACCCTGACTTCTCATTGGCCCTCAGTGGGGATGGGCAGGAGCTGAGGGGCAGGACTGGCCCCGGGCTGAGCTTAATGCCTGAACCTTCAGTCAGAGCAGGTGGCGAGCCCCTCCTAGGGCGTGTGTCGTCAGAGGCCTGGGGTCCTTTGGGGACCAGGGAGCACCCCAGGTTGGCTGAGACCACGCAGGAGCCTGGACGGGGCTGGCTTGCCGCTTCCTGTGGGAAGGCGCATATGAGAGTGGTCTTTCCATGGTTACTGGAAAGCTCTAAAACTGCGGTCTGAGAGCAGGTATGTTTTTCAGAAGTTCTGTGAATGCTGAAATACCGATTTTTACTCGAAACAGCACTTGAAGAAGTTGAGGTGGAGGGCCACAGAGAGAGAGCGCCGGGGTACGCACATTTCCAAAACCAGGACGTAGCTGGTGGGGGTCTCGAAGGTGTCGAGGAGGCTGACGAGGAGCGGGTGCTGGACGTTCCGCAGGACGCCGAGCTCGTGGGTGACCTGGTCGCGCTTCATCAGTTTCTTGTTCACAAACTTGGTGGCCACTGTTTGCTTGGTTCCTTTCTGATCACATTTCTTAACGACAGAGAATCTGCCCCTGGAAATCAGGTGGAGAACAGCTTTCAGGACACTGAGTGAGCCTGGAGAGAAGGCGGGATGCTTCCCACGCCTGTGCCCGCGCCTGAGCCCCTCTCTGCTGACACTTTCTCCTGGTCTGGGCAGGAGTCCCCTGCTACCCGCCTACGGCTCCATGTATAGCTGGAACCCGAGGGACACATTCAGCCTTTCTCAACCTGGACTCCACAGGAGAACCAAGTCCTACAAGAAATGGTATGGATGACGCCTCCCAGATTTCCCCAAGCATGGGACACGGCTGGTGGTCCCCGAGGTGCAGGGCAGGAGTCACCCACTGCATCCATGGGAGGCTTACGGCAGTGGGCCGTCATTCTCTCTGGAACCTGAGCTGAAAACATCTTGTTACTTCCAACGTTTAGTACTGAACGGTGACCACAGGTTGCTTTGCAAATGTAACACCTCTAACTCCCAACTGGCACTCACACCGTTGACCTTCACTGTCTACTGCCAGTGAGCTGCGTCCTACCTGCTGCTCTCCCGAAAGGGGCTCGGGTCGTACCTGCCCAGCTCGGCCACTTCGCTGTAGAAGGAGTCGAAGTTGTCCTTCCAGGTCACCAGGATCCCGTCGCTCCCTGGACCTGCAAGAGGAGCAGCACCTGCCTGAGCCTGGTCTGTGTGGCGGGTGCGTCTGGGGAGGCAGCCTGCAGACCTGCGCTGCCCCACGTGCGGGCACACCTGGCTGCTCAGAGTGGGTGCTCACTGCCAGGAAGGGGCGCTGGGCTCAGCATGAAGAAAGATGGACTATGCGACAGAGATAAGCACACACTTCCTCCTCCATGACTGCCCGCTCCCCGTTAGTCTGAACTCTCCCTTAACTCCCTTAGCTTTCACTCCTGACTCTTATTTTTAAAAAAGCCACCTGCATAATTTGTGACATTTCTTAAAAATGAGAATGTCGGTGGTTCTTTCCTCCCAAATTCAAGGCTTCCTTTCTTGTGCCATGATCCCCAACTCATGTTACTGCCTTTCTTTGACTTAACGAGGTTAAGATACTTAGCGTTAATATATGTGGGATAAAAGTTCTAAGACAATTCTGTTTATTGTCTACACACAGGGAGCTCTGGACTTAATGCACCTTTCAGTTCAGATTTTTATTTTTGCTCTTGGAAGCGACTTCTGATACCTGGTGCAGCTACAGGATCAGCGAGAGCCCACATCAGCCCTATCACACATTGGCCACAGGCAACGTGGCAGCTGGAGGCCAATCAATACTCACTGAGCATCTCCATATGCCAAGTGCTCGTACGGGGAATCTGAGAGGCTTACGATATGGGTTCTGCCTCACCGCTTAGGGGAGGAGCGGGAAGGGGCCTTGCCGGGCAGTAGAGAGAGCAAGGGCTTAGACCAGAGACACGGGTTCCACCAAGGGTGCCTGGAGCGCGTGGAGGGGACAGGAGGACACGCCCACCAGAAGGCCTGTGAGGTCTGAGGCAGGCACACAGCCTGCACAGGGCCAACCACCTTCCCTCCTTTCCTTTTCACTCACATCCACGCGACCAAGTTAGATTAGACTCTTAGAGCCAAAGCGTCAACTGAGTGATTGGATTAAAGAGAAACTGGGTCCTAGCCAGTTTGGCTCAGTGGATAGAGCGTCGGCCTGTGGACTGAAGGGTCCTGGATTTGATTCCAGTCAAGGGCACATGCCTCAGTTGCAGGTTCCTCTCCAACCTGGGCCCTGGTCCGGGCGCGTGCAGGAGGCAACCAATCCATGTGTTTCTCTCACATCAGTGTTTCTCTCTGTCTTTCCCTCTCTCTTGTACTCGCTCTAAAAGTCAATGGGAAAATGTCCTTGGATGAGGCTCTCTAAAAATCAATGGAAAAATATCCTCGGGTGAGGATTAAAAAAAAGAGAGAGAGACACACAGAGAGAGAAACTGGTACAAGAATGTGTTTTGGAAACTTGAGCACAGAACACATCCAGTCCAGTTGAGAGGCTGGCTCCAGTTCCCAGTGACCAGAGTCAGAGGCCTGACCTTGTGAGCGGTGCCTCGAGGTCAACCACCCAGGAAGCCCCAGAGCCTGGGGCTGTTAAGACCTATTTTCATGTTTCTGGCCGTGATGGGGGTCGGGGCGCTGGGCTTGAGCCTCCAGCGCAGGGGTGCAGCTCACCTAGAACCCTCAGGCTGGCCGAGCAGGAGGCCGATCCCATGTCGTTCACAGCGATGCACGTGTAGATGCCGTCGTCGTCGGTGGTCACGCCCACGATCTTCAGAGAGGCCTCTCCCAAGTCACTGCCGCACAGAGAGAACACACCTCGTGTCAGAGAGGCCCAGCCCCCCGCTGGCAGCCCCCACCTCTCTCCTTCGGGGTCCAGAAAAGAAGGAGCTCGAGGGCTGACGAGGAACCTCAGCGGAGGTTTAGTTTTAGTTGCACACCGAGGCACGGAATGGACCCTCGGGAAGTGTCCCAGTGTGAAGGCGACTGTGGGCTCAGCGATGTCAGTCCCAGGGGAACCTGCCTGTGAAACCGACCGTGTGTGAGCCGCCCTCACCTGTAGGAGATGCTGTAGTGGCCGTCGTTGTTCAAGGTGTTGTGCTCAGGGCCCTTCCAGGTGATAGAGGCCTTTGGGCGTCCACAAACGCGACATCTGAGAACAACGGTCTCCCCTGCCTCACACGTGACCTCACTCAAGGGAATGACGAATTCTGGGGGAACTGGAGGAGAAAGGAGTCAGTACCGCCGGTCCTCCGGGCCCTCTCCCTCGCCCACCAGCGCTTTCCTAACAAACAAATGGGACTCAATTGCGGCCTGAGCCCAGCGCTCCTTGGAAAACCCGTCTCACTGGGCTACCCGTGTGTGTCCTGAGACCTGTCCCCAGACCCACAGCCTGTAAGACCAGCAGAAACAGTAATGGCACTCACCGTCATAAATGTAGTTGGGACTGAGAAGCTGAAAGGAAAAAGCCACAGGCATTAATCAAATGCGGCTGACTGCAAGGCGAATTGCTTTCCCTCCAGGGCTACCTTAACCAACGGAAGAGGAGAGAACACGTGTGGGTTTCATTCACTATCAGCCACATGTTCACTCCTTTCAATGCACTTGAGCTTCCTGTCATAAGAATTTGGGTGGATTGGAAGCACAAAAGCGCTGCTTAAACGTGGAGCCGTCTGTCTTCCCCATCCTACTAGCTGAGTCCAGGTGTCCCTGGACCTTTACCTTCTGCAGAATGGCTGTGTCCTCACCCAGGGTCCCCAGATTCCCAGGCAAACCCCTGGTTAAGGCAATCTGATTATCAAGAGCGAAGCTGACTGGAGCCTGGAAATATCTAGAGCCATGACCTGCACCTTGGCATCTGGTCACTCCCCGTGGCCCGAGGAGGCCCGAGCCACGGTGGCTTTGCTCTATCCGCTTCTGAGAATCTCACCTCCACTCCTTCTGGGAACCTAATAGCGTTCTTTGTAAAAGGCAGGCGTGCACCTGGGAGTGTCCACGTGTCTGCCTGGCTCCTTAGAACACATCGCGTACCCGTGCCAGCCAGCACTGCCCCCGAGAGCCTCTGCAAAGCCCACGGGGTCTGCCGGCAGGGCTGAGAGAGGTGCTGTGTGGTTGGCACGGCCCAGCCCAGAGTGCACGGCCCTCCACGATGCCCTGGGCCTGCGCCAGCCCCTCCTGCCACGGGGGATGACACAGGTCCTGACACTGGTTCATGGGATACTCGGTCTCACCTTCACAGATACCTTGTTGCCGAGTCCTTCCCGTGACTTCCGATAACCGTTCTCTAACTTGCCTTCCCGTTTGCCGTCTTTATCTTTTTTCTCAGATTTTTTTCTTAAACGGAGTGCTGTGTGCCAAGATGTTGACTTCCTAGGGGAGAGAGCACACTGTTTAGTGCTCTGCCTTCCCAGTGTTCGGCGAGGATCCGGGAAGCGCTGGAGAAAACCCGACTGCTCAACACGTGCAGATACCGGGGGCGGCGAAGGCCGAGAGCACGCTCCTGTGATTCTCAACAACCGGGATGTAAAACCACCACTTTCTTAAGTCAAACAGGAAGGACTGACATACAAAGGTGCCTGGGATGGTACCTTTATGCATCAACTGGACTGGGCCCTGGGTGCTCTGCAGTTTGGCCAGTTATCCTGGGTGTTTCTGCATGAGATTAACTTTTTAACTGGTAAAGCCGGTAACGCTTCATGCAGTGGTGGGCCTCATCCCCTCAGTTTAAGGTACGACTAGGACGAAAAGGCCGTCCGCTTTGAGCAAGAGGGAATATTCTCCAGCAGAACTCCTTCAGATCTCATCTGCACCACAGGCCCCCTGGGCCTCCAGCCACTGGCCCCCATGGCAGAGGT